AGCCACTCATTGCTGTCTCCACTCACTCCCCTGGTAGGACCGTAAAAATATTTTCAAATTATTAGGCTTGTATCATGAATCCCGTCACTTCTATGAACATGTCAAGACACAAAGCTTTTATGTTTGGTTAGAAAATTAAGCAGATATACACGGACATTTAATCAACCAATGCACATCAAGACACAAAGCTTTTGTGATTCTGTCCGAGTACACATATATACTCCCTCCGTCCCAAAATTCTTGTCTTAAATTAGTCTAGATACGGATATATTTAATACTAAAACGTGACTTGATAGTTGATACATCCATATTTAGACAAATCTAAGACAAGAATTTTGGGACGGAGGGAGTATGTCTTAGGAGAATATTGCAGTGGGGTAAGCAAATAACAAATTATAAATTTGGCAAGCATGTTGGTTGATAAAAACAGAGTAATAAATAAACCAAGTGAGATTAATTCTATGGTGTACCTAATCATTTTTTCCCTTTAAGATTCAGTTGTATATATGTAACTGTAGAAAAATATTGACATCCTCAAGAGATTAAAAAAAGCACCATGTCATACCTACACGTATTTGATTGGTTTCCTTATTCTATTCACCCTCCCATTCTTCACTAATTCCTCCTTCAAGTCTCCATCTTCTGACTGCATTCAATCAGATCTGAAGTTATGCATCCTCCTTTTCTTCCCCTGCCCGAGTCGCCTTCTCCTTAGATCCACCATTGCCCCCGACCATCCCTCTACCCCACCCCACCCCCTCTTCTAAAATTCCATGCTCGTTGTCGTCTTCTACCTCCTTGAGTTCCCATCACCCACCTTTCGGCACTGGTTGCAGCTGGTGCCAATGTCGTATGCCGCCCTGCCTGAGCCACCTTCTCCGATGGTCCACCGTTGCCCCTAGCCATACCTCTAAACCCCCACTTCTACGGCGCCGGTGAGCAGCCACACCGCATGATTGGTAAGACTACAATTTTTTGTTGCCAAATTTTACATAAATAAAAAATGTCTACTCTTTCAGTCACAACTTGCACTTTATTTGAATATATCAAATGTTACAAGAAAAAATATGCAATAGACAAAGAAGACAAGAACATGTAGTAAACTTCGGATGGTCTATTACTCTTATCTTTGCACATCACATTGGTCATCATTTGTTGAATCCTTAGCGCGACCTATACAAAACTAAAAAGTATGACAGATTGTATCTCCTTGTATAGTATATGACACAACAAATAAATGTGAGCCCATCCAGTTATGTTCTTATATTCTCATTAAGTAATGTTGTATGAATAAAGGTGAAGGTTGAATTTGCCTCCTATTACCTTCCAACCGATTTGTTTTGCATGGTCCACAGCCGGTATAAGGTCGGTATCCGATGAGAGTATGGTGATCATCATCTTCGTACTATCAAATGGTATCAGGAAAAGAAGAAACCTTAGAGAACTGACATAGTGATATAGGTATATAGGCACATATGTAGACAATGGAGCTTGACCAATACCAGAATTTGAGGTAGGTTCGATTTATCAACGTCATTGCGAAGTGATTAAAGAATCAACATTATCAATTCTGTCAGTCTACTCGTGTCTGAAATTTGAACATCACACTTGAACCTTACACGCTATAATATAAATTACTGGGCATGACATGGGAAAAGAGCGATGGTACAACTCCAGCTAGCGTGATAACAAAATGAGAGTGCATACCAGAGTTAAATATGTGCATCATGCCTTGTTTGTCCTGAATCTTGAACCCAAAAGTGTTTGATAAGCCTGACGCCAGAAAGAAGGCTGATCTTCCCATTTTCTATTGTCTCGGATGCCACTTTAGTTGATCCTTCGTTGAGAGATGCCATAGTGATTTAGTCACAGAAAAAAACCATGTCATCAAAATCATGTTTTGAAAAAGAAATGCTTACCTTCTGGAATCATCATCATCATCGAGGCCCAGTTGACATTGTTAGATCCCAGAAGCTCTGCACCATAAAAGAAGTCACCTCGGAGCCCGTTGCTCCACTGTTTCCACCTGAATACAACAACACAAACACGCATGGCATATAAACAAAACATGCATGATGTCTCCAAACTTATACATATAGAGTAACGATAAGAATACACAACACTGACAGTAACCTTAGCTAGAACAATTTTTAAGCAGGCCAGATAGCATATACACTATCTAATGGTCCATACAACTTGTATATTTGGCACTTTCCTATAAAGTTGCGCTAGTAACTTCCATCATGCAACTTATAACAAGATACAGATTACAGCATCAACTCAAGATTACAGCATCAACCTCCATGCCAATATACATGTTCCAGTTCAAAACCTAAAAGTGCACACAAAGGAGCAAGCCAGAGTGCGCATACATAAGCTCAAGCAGGAGGAAATTATTACTCACTGTTGCAATTGCAGCATGAGTTATTTGAAGGACATCAACAACAGTTACAACACTCCCATCTGGATAATGACAAGTCATTATTCATAATTTAACAGCCTTCACAAAAAAAGTTGAATTAGATCAACTCCATTGCTCATTTTTCCACATACTCCTGTCTAGAACAGGCAAATGCAGAAATTTTCAATCATGCATTGTGTGTAGGGCTTCAACGATCGGGATATCAATCATGGCACATTTTGCACATTTTGGCTTTGCTTACCTTCTGGATTGTAGTAGACTTGGGTGGAAGATTTTGGGCTATAACTTGCATCAATATATCTCTTGAGCTGATCGGTGTAAAAATAAAGTAGCTTTTAGTGCAATGCTGCTATAGAAATTACAAGTGATCTAATTGTATTCAGGAAAGGTCCTGACATCAGAATTCCGTCAGTCTTGTTTTCAGTCGCAACAACTGCTGAACTTACTTTTAGTTCAAACATCTTTTTTTATGAAGTCAACACAGTGTTATTTGGTACAACAGTTCTGTAATATCATTTATTCTATAAATACTCAAGAAAGGAATTTATTAAAAAATGACACGATCTTACCTACTTTGAAGTCTCATATATAATTCTGGACAGTGATTTCCTAAACATCCGTTCATGAAGAGTTTCAACAAAAGTGTTGGGACTTGGGACCTGCAAAGTATATGGAGAAAGCATTATAAGAGCAAATTGCTAAATCCAAATCTTCAGACAGTAACATTTATAGTGGTTTTCATAAAAGAAACTGATAAAATTCAAACATAAGAGACTACACACCAGATACAGATGTTCCCCAATGCTTCTCAACACCCTCAACAGCAGCAGCGATTGCTCTTCCTTTCTCAGAAGCCCTTTACATTCGTGCAATAGCACATACGCACTTGGCTATGTCCAGTAGCGCAATGACTTCCAGCCCTCAACAACAGGTGGATGGACTGGCTGGTGAAGATGGCTATATACCCGATGCCAGCGACACACGGGATGGCGGACGACCATCCTTCAACCAGGCTCGGTTTGGGAGCTTGGTTGTGCGTTGTCACCTGCATTGCATGTATCTCCGTGTAGAGTTTTTATTACCTGCATTGCATGTATCTCCATCATGGAGCTCATACTGAAAGACATTAGTCTACGGTATTACCTGCATCTGCATTGCATGTATCTCCATCGAGATTTTATCAAGCACTTTACAAAGAAGTGCATCGAGGGGACAATCATGGCATTGATAGTAAGACCTTACCTTGAAATCTGGTTCGGGCGGCAACACGCCAACACGCCCGCCAGCATATAACAGCAGCAATGCAGACTGAGCAAACACCCTGATGGTCATGATGTGGGCAGCTCGTAGCATTAGTGTCAGCAGTCCTCCTTAGCAATGGCAGCGGCAACGGCGGTGATGGGGAGCATGGACGGACAGGGCGCTAGTACTCCTGATCATCCTCAATGGCATGTGATAATACTTTGTTTTCTTCTTGCGCTGGCTTAGAATTGTCAGAAAAATAAATGATGCATACTTGGCACCAATGCAGTCCATGGTACATATAAATGGCTAATCATTTTCACCTAGCCCAACAATAATTGGTTGGCAGAAGTATGGCCCAAACCTAAATGTCATGGAATAACTCGGTTAGCTGTCCCCATACTTAAGCAAACATAAGGGGTGGTAATAGGACAGGAGGGCAAGAAAAAAATAGTTACAATGTATCTTCACATAGATCCTGCACATTTCGGCTAATCAAAAATATGATTTATGAATTAGTTTGCCACAATATCATCAAATAACTCTGTTAGCTGTCCCATAGTTCAGCAAATACAAGGGGTGGTAATAAGACAGAAGGACAAGAGAAAAAATATACAGTGTCTACACAAACATTCTACACATTTCAAATAATCAAAAATATGATTTATGAATCAGACTGCCACATGAAGAATTGCACAATTACATCAGCAAAATATGAACATATGTACCAGAGGGTAATATTTCAAATTCTAGCACCAGCTATATCATGGGTCATCATTTTTTATCCCAAATTATGTGGATATTAATCCAATAGAAGGCACACCGACGCTACTTCGGATAGTCAACCAGTTGACACAATGCAATTCAACAAGTCTAAATTTACGTCCCATGCTCAGCGCTGGTTCATGTTTTCTACTCTTAACACGACCACAATAGCACAATGCTCTAAATCAAGCTACCAAGAATCCCAATACTTGAAGCATCTCACCATTTCTCTTAGAGGAGGGTGGAGACAAGGCTGGCAAAGGTCTCAGGCTTCATGTCCCTCTCCTCCCGAAGCTGGTACAGTTCATGCTTGAACACCAACCGCTAGTACCTACAAACACGTAACACAGCACACATGTCAAACCCAAACCCTAAACCAACGAAAGCCACCAAATAGGGGCGATCAGCTAACGACCAGAAACCGCCAATTGAGGATTCAAGACCAACAACATCTGGGCGTCCGTGGCAAGGCCAGAGAGGCCAATGTACAACTTGCCGTGGATCTTGAACACCCTCTGGAAGTCAGTGGCGACTGTCTGCAGCTACAAGCCCAGGCGCCGGTCGCTGGCGATCACGAAGCAGTTCTTCCCCGCCATCGCCACCACGGCACTCCCGTTGTACTCGAAGATCTACCGAAGGGGGAAGATGCAGTGCGTATCAGACGGGAGCTAGGGTTTTGCATGGTGTAGGGAATAGCCGGCATGGTCTTGCGCCGCTCCTCGCTGCCCGCAACGCGACCATGCCCTGCCCTAGGGTTCCACGATAACGGCGGCGGCAGCGGCCCACAAGCATACCCTCTTATGGGTCCTGCCCTGATGTGGGTTTCCGCACAGGCTGCGGCGATCTCAGAGGTCGCGCCGACGCCGGGGGCGGAAGAGAAAGACATTGCCGGATGAGGATTCTGCGGTGGTGGTGGACTGGCGGTGGCGGCGGCGTTCATGCCCTAGGAAATAGATCGAGGGATGCCTCTGGTTCGTGCGAGGGAGCCTCGTTTCGCTCGAGGGCAGGAGGTCTCGCTCGAGGGCAGGAGTACGTGCGTGCGATTCAGTTGCCATTTTTTCTTTCGCTGGTTTTTTGTAGTAGATTTTTTTTCGTAGATTCTTTTCACGCCGTTTTTCTGGATCGACCAGAGGTTTGCCGCCTGGACCTTGTGGGTGCATCGCTATGTTTGTTTTTATTGGTTCGCGGGTCCGGGGGGAGCGGCGCTATGACGAAAAAACCAGACGAATGTGGTGGGAGGATGACAAAATAAAACGGAGGTGGGAGGATGACGAAAAAAACCAGCGAAAAAAAACCGCGCAAACTATTCATCAAGTCGTCCATTAGGAGTAGAGATATGCCCTAGAGGCAATAACAAAGTTATTATTTATTTTCTTATCTCATGATAAATGTTTATTATTCATGCTAGAATTGTATTAACCAGAAACTTAGTACATGTGTGAATACATAGACAAAATATAGTGTCCCTAGTATGCCTCTACTTGACTAGCTCGTTAATCAAAGATGGTTATGTTTCCTAACAATAGACATGTGTTGTCATTTGATGAACGGGATCGCATCATTAGGAGAATGATGTGATGGACATGACCCATCCGTTAGCTTAGCATTATGATCGTTACAGTTTCATTGCTATTGCTTTCTTCATGACTTATACATGTTCATCAGACTATGAGATTATGCAACTCCCGGATACCGGAGGAACACCTTGTGTGCTATCAAATGTCACAACATAACTGGGTGATTATAAAGATGCTCTACAGGTGTCTCCGAAGGTGTTTGTTGGGTTGGCATAGATCGAGATTAGGATTTGTCACTCCGTGTATCGGAGAGGTATCTCTGGGCCCTCTCGGTAATGCTCATCACTATAAGCCTTGCAAGCATTGTGACTAATGAGTTAGTTGCGGGATGAAGTATTACGGAACGAGTAAAGAGACTTGCCAGTAACGAGATTGAACTAGGTATGATGATACCGATGATCGAATCTCGGGCAAGTAACATATTGATGACAAAGGGAACAACGTATGTTGTTATCCGGTTTGACCGATAAAGATCTTTGTAGAATATGTAGGAGCCAATATGAGCATCCAGGTTCCCCTTTTGGTTATTGACCAGAGATGTGTCTCGGTCATTTCTGCATAGTTCTCGGACCCGTAGGGTCTGCACGCTTAACGTTCGATGATGATATGTATTATGAGTTATGTGTTTTGATGACCGAAGTTTGTTCGGAGTCCCGGATGAGATGACGGACATGACGAGGAGTCTCGAAATGGTCGAGACATAAATATCGATATATTGGAAGGCTATATTCGGATATCGGAAAGGTTTCGAGTGATTCGGGTATTTTTCGGAGTACCGGAGAGTTACGGGAATTCACCGGGAGAAGTAATGGGCTTTATTGGGCCATACGGGAAAGGAGGAGGCAGGCCAAAGGGAAGGTGGCACCCCCCCCCCATGGGACCGAATTGGACTAGGGGAAGGGGCGGCGCCCCCCTTGGCCCTTTCCTACTCCCTCTCTCCCTCTTTAGGGATTCCTAGTAGGACTTGGAAGTCCTAGTAGGACTCCATACTCTAGGCACACCCCTAGGGGGTCGGCCTCTCTCCCTCCCTCCTTTATATACGTGAGCAGGGGGGCACCCCAAAGACACACAAGTTTCTCTTAACCGTGTGCGGTGCCCCCCTCCACAGTTACACACCTCGATCATACCATCGTAGTGCTTAGGCGAAGCCCTACACCGGTAACATCATCATCATCGTCGTGCTGACGAAACTCACCCTCGTCCTCAACTGGATCAAGAGCACAAGGGACACTACTAGGAAAAGGCCTACTAGTGGCGCACCAGTTTTGCCTACTAATGGCGCATTACTGGTGCGCCACTAGTACCACGCCACTAGTATTATATACTAATGACGCACCATGTAGTGCGCCATTAGTATACCATTTGGTGCTCCACTGGTATTCCCTCCAGGTGCGCCACTAATAGCCTTATAGGTGCGCCACTAGTAATAAAGGAAGGTGCGCCACTAGTAAGGGCTTAAATGCGCCACTAGTAATGTATTTGGAAAACAAAAAAAATCCAAATTTACAGAAAACAACCTATAAGGAAAAATAATTTAAAAACAAAAAATGAAATAGAATCATAATTTTTATTATAGTAAGAATATTACAATGTCTTTACAAGTATCCAATAAAAGGAAAATTGCAAGGAAATAAAAGAAAATCCTAAAACTAATCTTCTAGTAATCTTTTCTTCTTTTTCTTTACTTTACCCCTGCAAAATGTAACAAAATAAACAGAAAGACAAACAAACTATTTATAACATGTCAATACTGTCATTTTTTATGCAGAACTAGATATGAGCATATATTTCCAGAATTACATGGTGTGAATATTGTATGAGTAAGATTCTAATGGAAATGAATTTTGATAGGAGCCCACTTTCGACGAGTATTTATCTGACAGGGCTAAATAATCAGGGCATTTACCTTTTGATAATGTTATTATACTATACTACCAGTATACTACTCCACTTGGATTTTTTAGATGAGCAGATCTGAGATAGACATCTGTTCAAGTGGCTATAGGTAGGCTTGAAGAATTCACATCGGTTCAAGTGGCTACAGGTAGTCGCACAGCTGGAATATAGACTACTAGTACTATTTGAAAAGAAAACAAGAGCAAATCTGAACGTACTAGTCAGATCCGATCACATTGAGCTAGAAAGAAAATTCATCAGGAAACAGATGGCCGGCGACTTACTTCCAGACATTGAGGATCTCGTTGTGCCCGGCAAAGACGCTGCGGAGCGTGTCGCGGACGGACTGCTACAGAGAGAGCTGCCGCAGATGAACACGTTGTCCTGCAGGTAGTCCAGCAGCCATGAATTAAAGATACAAGGGCTAGAACTGAAAGAACTAACATCTTAGAAAGCAACAGGAGATAATTCATATATGCAAAATACATATGAAGTGGTCTTCACCAAATTTGTTGAAACATGAACGAAATGTTTTAGCAGTACCAATGATACATGTCAAATTAATTGTTCCTGTCATGACAATGTAAAAGTAGTACTTGCATGCCAATGAAGACTTGCTCATATCTAGTTCAGGACATGTGTAATTGTGCCTAAGTTCACTTGTAATGCCATTATTCATGATCTGAACTTTATCCTCCACAAAATAAAATAACAGTTGATCCATGGGAATGATACTTAATTTTGAAGCTACTGTTAATTTATAAACTGAATATAAAGTGAGTTTATAAATTCAGAAACAGAAAATTCAGTTAGGCTACTGTTAACTGAATTTTGGAGTGTATACTTAACAAAGGCTTCATTTGAATGTACAGTCAAATTAAAAAAATGTGTTCATGGGGCAGCAGCACTAAGAACTGAAAGAGAAAGGTGCAGAAAAAAGCTACTGAAAAACAATATCAGAAGTAGTGCATACGTTGTTGAGGCGCTGACTGAACCATTGATAGTACTACCACTCTTCTTTTTTGCGTCCATTAGCGTGACAGTGAGGTTACAACCTTTAATTAATCATGCAGTATGTGTATAAACTATAAAAAATAACTACACTGCCTGGTTTTCATCCAAATAAGAAAACAGAGCACAAACGATTTTTTTCACATATTCACATCATTGATACATGATGACATTTGATTGAGTGATGCAATGGTGGAAGAATAGAGTAATTGTTGTCCATCAACTCATAAATGATTAATTATTACCTGCTTGAGGATAGGGATGGCACACTTTCCTCTTAGAGCGAAAGCATCAGAGTAGGTTATTACCTGCTTGAAAGACGCCCCAAATCCATACCTGAGATAACAAAAATACATGAGAAAAGCATTCTGGATCTCTCCGATTTGCACAACATACAGGATGTGCGATATCTGAACTTACGACAGGAGGGAGCCATGTATCAATCTTGGGGCTTCCTCGCTCGCCATGGCCGGGCACCATCATCCTCTGCAACTTCACCATCATCCTCTCCTCCAACGATGACCTGCGCAGGACTCGTACAGAGATATTTTTTAACACATCATACACAGATATAAATCATCTGAATCAAAAGCAAGCTGCATCTAGTTCATCAAATGTTAGATGTACAGAATTTGATCGTACACTGCAATGCAAACCATTCAACCACGAAGTAGCTGGAGCTAGTGATTTCAATTCGCTACCATGATGCATGCATGTATGCGTGCAAGAAACCGCCAGACTAATTAAGCATTGAGGTAGGCTACATAATCCAATCCGGCTAGCTCGTAATCATATCCATACTAGGTAGCCGCTACGTAGTTAAGTCTGGACAGAGAGTTAGAGACTGGGATGAACACGTACATGGGAAGGAGCAAGAGACGCAGGGCCTTACTTGCCCATCCTCCGACCAGATCGGTGGTGTTTAAGGCCGCCTTAGAGCTCCAGCGGTACCTCCCCTGCAGGCAAACAGAGCAATAGGCAAAAATCACCTGTGCAGATCGATTTAGAAGCAGGATTAATGCGGGAGAGGCACAGTACCTTCCGGGATGAGCGCCATGGATGTAAAGGAGGAGGAGGACGGCCGCGCGTCCCCCCTTGCCAAACTTGGTGCAGAACAACGCGGAGGCTGCTTCCTCTCCCGGCGCGTGGACGTGGAGAAGAAACCACCCTCCAACGGCGCCATCGCCTACGGCACCTTGGCCTTGCCGCCGGATCCGCCACCGTTCATCAATCATGGGCCAGCTCAATGACGACGAGGATCTAGAAGCCCGGCTATGGCCGTGGCGGCTGGATCTGGGGCCTTGGGTGGCGGGGAGCTCCTCCTCCTGTAGCTCGGCAGCCTCCACACCCCGGAGCAACGCCGTCACCGAAGGACGTGGTCACCAGCTCTCCTCTGGATCCGGTGAGGAGGGTTGGGGAAGGAGCTCACCACGGCTCCATGCCCTGGGATCTGGTG